GAAAACATTGAGCTTAGTTCATGAAGAAGACCTGACTTGCACACCATGTTGTTTTGAGAACTCTATATGGGATCAAATTGACAGCAACAACTGAAAAGATGAGGTAGGAAACTTACAGAAAGTGAGTTTATATTACTAGGAGAGGAAAAATTCAGAAAAGAGGGTGAGAATGGCCACAACATGAAGGGTGCAAGCAATGTCATTGAACCACACACATAAGAAGTGGTTGAATAAAAAATAAAAAAAAAAAGAAGTGGTTGAATCCATTTATTTTCTGCACTGTCACCAAAACAACAACAGAAAATAAAGTACAAAAGAGAAGGGTATTGTACACTGAACATTAAGCTTTTTTGGAAGCTATGCAAATGTCTTCTTGGATATTTTAAAAAAACTATTGATCCTACAGCTGCCATCAACTCTCCTCAAGCTCCGAGACTGAGTTCTGCATCTCTGTCCCTGCCACTTGCAGTGGCTGTCACCAGCCTTCCCCTCTAACCACCAGCATCTTGCTATAGAGGTGTGCCAGGCCTGCAAGACTCCTGCCTGCCCCTTACCTGTGTGCCCATTGTTGGTAATAGGGAACAGGCCCTCCTGAGCCTCGTAGCCGGACAAGTTCAGCCTCTTCAAGGTAGGGTTGTAGTGCACCACCCTCCTCTGCAGGTTGATGGGCGACTGCCTCTTCCCACCACAGGTCTTATAGTATTTCGCCCAGTGCTTCTGGTCCACTGCCCCGTCTGAGACAAGAGAGGCAAGGAGGGAGCGGTTAGAGGAACTGCTGGCGCTGAGCTCTACCTGAAGGTAGAGGTGCACCCACTGGCCACCTCACACAGGGCAAAGCCCAGGGAAGGTAGAGGTGCACCCACTGGCCACCTCACACAGGGCAAAGCCCAGGGCCCATCCCCTGGGACACCCAAAGGGCTGCTTCTAGAAAGCAGAGATGGAAGATCTGGGAAGACATTGGAAGGTTTCAAGATGAACTCCTAGAACTATAGGTGTCTGGTTCTTTTGGTTCTGATTCCTAACTTTGGTGCTGCAACCATGGTTTGGTGCTTAGAAAGCCAAGGAGGTCTTTAATACACAGCTTTTCTTCCCTTTGGATTATTTTCAGCTGAACACGGTCCTGGAGAATGCCTCGAACACAGTATGGCCATGCTGTTTTCAAGGACTTTTTCTCATTTCCTCTAAATGGCAAAGCTTGCCTTTCTAATCCCATCATAACTCACCCTCCTCCCACCCCAGGCACCAGAAACTCAGCCCCTTTTACAAGTTCCTAGAAGAGTAAAGACCTGAGTGACAACTACACCTATGGATTGAGGACGACTAAGGAAGTGTTATTAAAGAATCCTGGCAATGCATTGTTTAAGCACTAGGCTGCTAACCAAAAGGTCAGCAGTTCAAACCAACCCACTTTTTCTTAGGAGAAAGAGATAGCAGTCTGCATTGTAAAAACTATAACCTAGAAACCCTATGGGATAGTAGGAATGGAGTTTTGGTTAAGGAAGCATGAGATTCAAAGATGACACTGAATGTCAAACTAAAAAAAAAAATAGTAATTTTTAAAATTTAATAAAAGAAGGTAAAAACCACGAAAGTAGAGGGAAGGAGTGAAGGATGGCTCAGCCTCTGAACAATATAGGCTCTCGTTTCACCTGTTTGCTGTTAGGGACACTTTTCTACTTTAGGGGGCAGCTGCACTGTAAGTGCATTGCTTGTTTTAATAATGGGGTTTCAATCAGACCTCTCACTACTCATTGATTTTAGAATCAAAAGAAAAGGTGATTCTTTATTCTTGACCTTTTCTTTTGATTCTTTATTCTTCACTCTTCTTTCACTGTTTAATAACAAACAACACTGTCCCATCAATTCTGATTCTTGGCCATCCATTTGTGTCAAAGTTGTACTTCTCAGGGTTTTCAAAGGGTAAAGTTCAGGAATTTCTCCAGACCTTTCTTCTAAGTTGCATCTGGATGGACTCAAAACTTCAACCTTTCTATTAGCCCCTGAGTTTGTTAACTGTGGCACCCAGGAATTTACTAATTTAAAAATGCAAACCCATTTTTTCCCTAGAGAAAGGATACCAAAACCCAGGCAACAGGTTCCATGGGCAGCCCTGCCTTAGTTATATGTTGTTTTCATGTTGCGATCAATCGGAACCAATTCATAGCTGACCCTCCAACCAGTTTTCAGAGGCTGTAAATCATAGAAGAGGAGACTACTCATCTTTATCCCAAAAAGGAGCGGCTGGTAGATTCAACCCGCTTGTTTTTTGATTGACAACACAACTCCTCACCCACTAAGCCAACCAAGCTTACTTCTTGGTTATCTGTTGTTCTAGTGTACCAGCTGAGTCAGAACCAACCCACAGCTGAACCTCCAGCAGGTTTTCAGAGGCAATAAATCCTATAGGAGGAGATTGCCCCTCTCACTCCTGCAGAGCAGCTGGTGGATTCAAACCACGTGCCCTCTGGATTGCAATGCAGCTTCTTACTGCTAGGCCACCAGAGCTTCCTCCTTAGTCATCTATGGAAATAGCACAAGTAGGCGGCTTTAAGGAGCAGACATTTGTTCTCTGAGTTTAAGACACAGAACCAGAAGACTGGCTCTAGGAAAGCCTTCTGTCCCTGTTGACGTGGGAGGAAGATCCTTGTCTGCTTGGCATCTGCTTCCTGGTTCCTTAGAGGTCTCTGTGTGTCTTGGCACTTCTCTTGCCCCATCTCTGCTGCCCAGCTTACTTGTTTAGTCTCTTGTAATTGACTCAAGACACACCCTATGCTAATCCTATCTCGTTAATAAAACAAAGACAACCCACTCCCAAATGAGGTTATAACCACACAGAGGTTAGGTTTTACAATATATATTTGTAGGGGAGGGGTGCAGAACAATTCCATCTATAACAAGCCCTTTCATAAACCAAAACATCTCGACAGAGGTTCCCACCAATATTGGGGTTTCTCTCAAATCCTTAAGGCGTTTTGGACAGTTCCCAGAAGGTTCTCTGGGGCCTCTACTGGTTTCCTCAGGCACACTGTCTTAGAGGTGAGGCTGAGTCTGGAAAGGACAAGACTGCCATTGTGTTAATCCTTTCTCTTACTTAACCCCTGAGCCACCCCCGTGCATGTGAGGCCAGGTGAGGCAGAAAGTCGCAGGGTCTCTACAGGACCAGCAGGTGTGTAGTGTTCCCCACCTCATGATTGGTCAGATTGTGCAGTCCAGCCCTCTGAAGCTGGACTTCATCATCTCGTGCCTCTTGGCGTTCACGTGCATTCGTGCCTTGCCAGGTGGCTGGCAAATGCAGATTATCCCATAAGGAAGCTCAGTCCTGCATTTGCCTTTTGCCTCCACCAGTGACCATCAGCCTCTTCTGGGGCACCCAATCCATGGGTATTTCTGACACAGACAAGAGGACCAGGACCTCTCTCAGGTGGCACGTGGGAGGGGTGTTTAGTGTCTACAACCCCACAGGTAAAGGCTGTCCTGTCTTTGGGTTACATATGGTCAAGAGCCATCTGCAACATTTTCCACTTCACCTTTGGAAATCTGGTGTAGGGGTGCAGGTTCAGTTCTCAGTAAGGCCATTGTCACAAAGAGAAGACACCCTGGAGGCAACCTAAAGGTTTAATGGTCAAGTAAAGGTGTTCTGGGTGGACACTAACATTTTCAAGACATGGTGTTTACAAGACATGGCAGTTCCAAGACGTGACAGTTCCAAGACATGGCATTTCTAAAAGGGACATTCACCCAGCTTGCAAGCACCTCGGGGGGGACAACAAAACTAAACTAAACCCATTGCCATCAAGTCACTTCTGACTCAGGGTAATGTCTTGCGTTTCTGAGATTACACACTTTAATGGGAGGAGACTGCTCCTCAGTTTTCTCCTGTGGTGCCACACTGGTGGATTCAAACCCGCAATCTTTCAGTGAGCAGCCCAACACATAACCCCCTCTTCCACCAGGGAGACCACAGGAAACACTTTAGAAAAACCTCCTTTGACATGCAGCAGTAAGCAAGTGGTGCTGTGATCAGAAACGGTGAATGGTAAGCTGGTTCTTGTACCAACCTGGCCATTGGTGGGAAAGGACCTTGCAAGAAAGCCTGCCATGAGGAGCACAGTGGGGATGGGGAGAATTCTTTTCTCTCCTCCTCAATGGAAGCTTAATTTCTCTATTATAAAATAAATAGTAAATATCATATAAGGATATATAGTATGTATTAAAAGCTTAGATGTTACAGGCATTGTTGTATGCCCATTTCACACCTGAAGAAATTGAGTTTAAAAATATTTCACAAAATATTAATGCATATATGTCCATGAAGAGAAAAATTATCAATGTGGAAAAAATTAAAATGCAAGCCTTTTTTCTTTTTTGGTAAAAAATATTTCTTCTGTAGAAGGTGAATAATATAAATATTGCCATTTTCCTTTGCTAACAATGTTTTTATAATTGTTCTAAAAACAAGTTGAAATTATAGTAACTTTAAAAATATTTTTCCAGATAATCAACTTCATACAGTTATGTTTAGAATACCAAACCAGATGTTTCACTATTGCAGATGTTTATCAAGCTTGGTATTTTAATTCTACCTTTGCTCAAAATTAGTTCATTAGTTCACTTTTATTTTACATTGGTTTGCTTACAAAGTTTGTAGATACAGTGTTTCACATTATCCTTCATTTGCATTGTCTTTCATACAATCTTTCATATTTATAAAATTAATCAACATTGATCTATGTCTACCATTGCCCTGTCTTTCCAGATCCCCACCAATCTTTCTCATTTCCTTTACCTGCCCCCCTCTTTCCATCAAATTGAACGACCCTATGATTTCCCCCCTGCCATCCTCACCCCACTGCTCGTACCATCCACTCTTGGATCTTCATAAACATTTTAATAGTTATCTTTCTATTTCTGCAGTAATGGTCTTATACAGTATTATGGGACTGAGTTAGTTCATTCAGCATAACACTCTCCAGTCCCTCCCAAGTTTGTGCAGTGATTTTCTAAATCATTGATCCTGAGTGCTGCATAGTATTCCATTGTGTACATGTACCACAATTTTTCAATCCATTTGGTTGTGGTTGGACATCTGGGATATTTCTTGTGCTAGTGAATAACACTGCTATGAACATTGGTGTATAAATATCCATTTGTGCCTCAGTTCTCATTTACTTGGGGGATATTCCAAGCAGTGGACTAGTTGAGTCATATGGAATTTCTATGTTCTGCTTTTTGAGGAAATGCTAACCTGCATTCCAGAGTGATTATACCATTTTACAATCCCACCAACAATGTATGAGAAAATGAAAATGTGGTGTCTGAGGGAGCTCTGGTGGCCTAGTGGCAAGAAGCTGCACTGCAATCCCAGAAATATGCGGTTTGAATCCACCAGATGCTCTGCCGGAGAAGGGGGGGCAATCTCCTCCTGTACCAGTCAAATCTGATTTGATGGTACACACACAAAAAAATAATAAAATAAAATAAATTTAAAAAAAAAAAAAAGAAAATGTGGTGTCTGGACCCAAAACAAGCAGCAGAGAAACACAAAATCACTGTCTACCTGCTCACCCTGGACAATACTAGGCTTCTCTCTTTTTCCCCAAGAAAGGAACTTGCACCCCTCCTGCAGGGTGAGGGGATGACGGCTTACCTGAGTAGGTCCAGTCGCCATGCTGGGCCAGGACTCCCAGGAACAGGGACAGCAGGATCGCCAGCACCTTCATGGTGTCCAGGTCTGGAATGTGGACCGATTCTGGGGAAAGTCTTCTTTTAAAAGCTCTGAAACTGTAAATAACAATTTACTGAGTCTGGTTGGCTGATCCACCCTTTGCTGCGCTCACTAAAACAATAACATCCTCCCTACAACAGGCCCTCTGATTTGGCTGCATCTGCCAGGTGGCCTGCACACACACTCACCTGATCACTTTACGTGTCATTACCACGGCCAATTAGTCCCTGGGTTTGGTTATTAAAGGTCTCCACTTATGAAAACTCACCTGTGAGGCTGCACAGTGCAGCCTTTGTGGACCAGGTCCACAAGAGAGGGGAAATGCCCAAGGGAGAGAGAGCAGGTGGTGGCAAGGTTTCCCCCAACAACTGCGCGCCCTGCCCCCTCGCTCCTGGCAAAGGGAAAACTGGGAGCCGGTGAGGGGCATCCCCATGCCCTGGAAGCCCCGGCGGCCGGATGCCCTTTGGTATTTCCTGCCTGTGTCAGTCAGAGACACCAGCCATCCTGCAGACTTATACCAACCACAGCCAGTGGTTGCTTGTTGCCATTGTTGTCGTTATGTACCGTTGGGTTGGAAATGACTCATAGCTGACCCTCCAGGGGGTTTTCAGAGGCTGTACACTGCACAGAAAGAGATGGCCCATCTTTCTCCTGTGGAGCAGCTGGTGAGTTCAAACCACCTGCCTATGGGTTGGCAGAGTAGCACCTCACCACTAGGCCACCAAAGCTCAATTGTCATTGCCTTGGCTCCAACTCATGGTGCCCCCTTGTGTGCAGAGCGGAACTGTGCTCGGTCAGATTTCCAAGTCTGTGACCTTTCAAAAGCAGAGGGCCAGCGTTTTCATCCAAAGGTCCTCCTTCCACCTGCCAATTTTTTGTCTAGTTGTTGACTGTGTGTGTTTGACCCCCTGAGACTTCCAACCACATCCAGACACTGGAGCAAAAGCTAGGGCCCCACATTCTGGCATGAACTGGGGAATCCCAGCAGGAGGTGAGCTTGTGCTTATCTTGGCCCTCAGTCTGAAGTTGACCCCAAGCCTGATGCCTCTGGGCCATGCCAGCAAGTGTGGGTGTCCTGGTTTCCCCCTGGGAAATGCTCATTCTGACAGCTGCAGTGACCTCAGTCACACCCAAACCAATCAAACTTGTCTGATCCATGGGGTTGCCTAATCTGCATGCATCCACTTGGATAAACAGTCCTTGAAATGAAGTGAGGGGGAAACTTTGGAGTTTATGCCTGCTGACAGGTCAGCGTTTCCCATGACCTTCAGAGAGGGCAAAGGAGGCAAAGGGCAGGCTGAGTTCCTGCAAGGCACCTGCCACTGACCAGGCCAGATACAAAGCTTGTCTGTTCTGGCAAATGAAGCTAATCCCCCTTGCTCACTGTCCTGGGAATCAGAGAGGTGTTGGGATGGTAGCATGAGTTCCAAAAATGACACTGAAGGTGAATAGGGGAGCTCCCTCTTGTCATTTAAATAGAGAACATTACTTGCTGCTATGACCCCTTAAAAAGCAGAACCACAAAGCACAGCAGTGGGACAGAACTCAAAAGAAGCAAAACATGGTTTAAAGCAAGTGCCCTACGGTCAGGCTAGCAGGGTGCAGGCCCAACTCTGCCATTTACCAGCTGTGTGACCAGCTGTGGGCAAATCATTCAGTCTCTCGTCCTCAGTTTCCCCACCTTTAAGAGAAGTTAACAGAAGCTCTAGCTGCATAGTGGTAGGAAGCAGTGCAGCAATCTTGCAGGCATGCAATTCAAATCCATCCGCAGCTCCATGGGAGAAGGATGGGCAGTCTCCTCTTATGCAATTAACTGCCTCTGAAAGCTCATTGAAGGGTCGGTCAGCTGTGGGTCAGTTTCTACTTGACAGCACACAAATATGGCCACCCTGTTGATATTCAATAGTCTGTACTGCCAATAAGAGAGATGCAAATCAAAACTACAAAGTATCATCTCACCCCAGTAGCAGTGGTAGTTTAACAGGGCAACAAGTAATAAACATGGGAGAGGATGTGGAGCAATAGGAATTCTTACACACTGTTAGTGGGATTGTAAAGTGGTACAACCACTCTGGAAAGGCAACTTGGTGTTCCTCACAATACTGAACATAGAAATTAATTCCAATGACTCAGCTTTCCAGTGCTTGGAATATACCCCAAACAAATGAGAACTGAGGCACAAACAGACACTTGCACACCAATGTTCATAGCAGCATTATTCACCATTGCAAGAACATGGAAACAGCCCAAACGTCCCAGTGAATTCACATGATGCAATACTACACAGCATGTAGAAGCAATGTAAATCACTACCTAACTTTGGAGAGACTGGAGAGCCTTAGGCTAAGTGAACTAAATCAGTCCTATAAGGACAAATACTGTATAAGACCATTATTGTAGAATAGAAAAATAACTTGTAAAATGTGTATGACGATCCAAAGGGGGAGGGTAGGAGCAGAGGGATGAGGATGGGTGGTATGGGGTAATCATAGAGTCATGCAATTTGATGGATAGAGGGAGAGATGGGTAAAGGAAATGGGAAAGATCTGGTGTAAAATTCAACGTGTATGAACTTTGTAAGTAAACTAGTATAAAATAAAAATTTTGGAAAAGTAAGTAAATAAATAAAGCCTATAAATATAGTAAGTTTGTGTGGAAAGTTGAGAGTAGTGCCCAACAAGTAGCACATACCTACCATATGATCTGTTCATTCACCTCATTTTATGGGGGAGAGAAATGACTTACATTGTCCTCTGGAAAGGTAAGGAGGAAATCTGAGATAAAAATCAATGAATTTTAGAGGATTAATCACTGCTGCCACCAAGAGAGTCCTGGTCTGTGTCCACCATCCGGTCACGCTGTCCTGGCATGACTCTGGTCACAGAGTCAAGATGAGATTTCTATTTTCAGATTCTGTGAATAAAAATCTGAAGTCATCCGGCCTTCATTTTTAAAGTGTTCATTTATGAACACTCAGCTTTAGCTGTAAAGACAGCTAATGATGCAGAAATAAGAGAAAGACAAATGGCCAAACAGGTGGCTTGGTCCTGGCATTGCAGCCATCTCCTTAACAGTTGGAGTAATAAAAAGGGACAAGCTAGCCTTCCTCTTCATTACCAACCAGCATGGCTGGGGTTGGGGGCTTCTTCTACAAAGAATGAAACATAACGAGAACATACTGGAAACATGAGGGTAAGTTTCAGCTGCCAAGAGAAGTGATCTTTTTTTACATTTATTATTAATTTCAATGAAAATTTACAGAGACTTAGGATTTCCATTCATTCATTGTTGCACTTTTCTCCCCTCCCAACCCTCCCCCCTAGGACACTACCCTCTTGGAAAAGTAAGAGAAAAATTCTTTCATTGTTTTACAATCCCTCCTCCAAGTCCACTCCATAATGCAGCCTTCGCTCTGGATTCCTGTCATGACAAAAATACCTAACCACATATCCCTTTTAAACAGTTTTCTCCCTCATCTGTTTCAATGCAGTATACATTATTGAACCCATTTTAGTCTTTGCCTGACCCCAAGGTCAGTCCTGTTTTACAACAGTGGCACCATGCAGTATTTGTCCTTTTGTGACTGAGATATTTCTCTCAACATAGCATCCTCCAGGGTCACCCATTTTTAATAATATTTCATGAGTTTCTTGTTTTTCAATGCAGCATAATATTCCATTGTGTGAATATACCACAGCTTCTATAGGTTGTTTCCAATTGTTTACTATTGTGAACAACGCTGCAAATATCAGCTTGGATGTCAGTTATGGTCTCTTCGGGGTATATTCCAGTAGTGGAATTGCTGGGTCAAATGGTATCTCTATTTGCAACTTTTTGAGAAAGCGCCACACCGCCTTCCACAGTGGTTGGACCATTTTACACTCCCACTAACAGTGAATAAGGGTTCCGGTTTCTCTACAACCTTGCCAGCATTTGTTGCTTGCTGTTCTGTTAAACTTT